GTTTGCATTGGTACACTGCTACTAAGAGAGATCTGGGATTAGCTGATTATGCTGATAGATCAGTGATTATTGCCCCGCAGGAAAATAATATTCTTCACTACACTCCTTACAAAGTTGAAAGTGTTGAAATTTTTCACCCACATTTGCCTTATACAATTTTGTCAATTCTAATCCATCGAAAACATATGAACCGACCTTCCTCATTTTATATAATAATACATCGCTATTCCACAGCATTGCTTTTTTCACAAAATGTAAAGTCTTGTCCTTTTTGGCGTATTTTCGTTCATTTAATAAACTAGCAATGGCTATGCTTTCCAATGAAGGAACGTTACGAACAATTTGAAAACTTTCTGGTATTTTTTCATGGGATTCAGCTGGCTCTTCGCTATAGCAGACGTGAAAATTTGTGTATACTGCGACTTCATTTTTCTCCAGATGATATAATTTATTTCTCCTATGCTTGATATGTATTTTATTCCCCGTTTTTCTTTTCCTCTTACGTGCGCGCTCACACTCGTCGTCGAAACGCTCATCGTCCACCTCATATGTTGCTGTGTTTTTTGAAGAAATCTTCCGATATTTCTGCGGCATATAGTCTTCAGCGCCTGAATATTTATGAATAATAATCCTGTTACTCTTCAGAACAATCTTAGGTCTCCGATCTTCTTCGTAATTGCCGTTTGGAGAGTTTTGCGCCAGATATTCGTCGAATAATTCCATGGTTCTGTCTCCCGACATTGCAAATACTTTCACAATTTCAAAAAAAACCCTAAGTATTAAAAGCATCCAACTTAGCGTCTCATATTATAAGGCCCTCCAAGCGCCGGTGGTGGGGGTTATAGCAGCGCTGCGGTCGGTATCATGTGATCGCTTATGCACCACTCATGAGCGAGTACGTGTATCATGTGTGCTCCCCCACTCTCGCATCTGACGCTATAGAGCCCGCGCGTACGTGGTGTTTTTTATTCAATCCCTGTGATATTGCTCTACGAGATCGTAGTAATGGAGAATAGTAACGCTAAAGGAACCGTGTCTACCGAACAGCAGGTACTATTGTCACAAGTTTTTCCCCTCAATAAATCAGGGACTAAACAAGTGCGTGTCGGCCTTGAAGTGACCTGTGTCGGAGAGTTCCTCCCGGTGGTGCAATTTATGGGGGTGCGCCCAAACCGCTTAACGATTTCAATGTCACGGGATGAGTGGAGACTACTGTACAAAGATATGGCCTCCATTACGGACTATTTTGACACAGCCAAGTTTCACCCAAACACGATACCCAATGTACCTGAAAAGCAATTTGGGGATCTGACAGTGAAATTCCACCGGAGTTTTGAAAAACTCTGCGTGACCTTCGTACGTAGTGCGGAAAAAAATCCTTTCATCATGATGAACCCTAGCATTGAAACATTAAAAACCAAGGCTACGTGGATCAACCAGTGGCTGAATTTCTTGGATTCACTGCCTTTGAG